ATAAAAAAGAAAAGAAATGACCACAATAATCTCAAGAATGTTCCCCAAAACACTTGCTTACATATATTTATAACCAAGAAAAAGAGGATTGGTCCTTTGAATACAGATGACTGAATTATATTTGTTCCAAATGCTCCCTCTACAATGTGTGATATTTCTTTTAAAGAGAAATATCAGCCCAAAGCTAAATACATTGACTTCAGGCTCAAGCGATAGATTATTGAAGGGCAATGGAAGTTATACACATACCAAGAATAAGATTTACCAATGTGTTAATTATTTTAAAAAAGCAGACCTGAAAGGAAAGTTTATAAGAAAAAAACCCTCACTGATTTGGTGCATGTAATGCAACTAAAGGTTAAAAAGCGCAAATAGTTCAAGTAGGTAAAAACTCAATTTTAGGGCTGAAGTGTAGCTCAGTGGTAGAACACCTGCCTAGCAGCATAATGCCCTGGGTTCTATCCCTAGTATACAAAATAATGGTGATTATGATAATAATAACAAAGTACATTTTAAGCCCACCATTGAACCCTTAGTCTTCAGTTCCCTTCCCTAGAAATAAGCCAGTAGCTGTGTCTCCTTCAGGGAGAGTCTGTACATAAACAATACATATTATATTCTATGGAAAACAGCCATAAATAACATACAATATCCTGGACCTTAGTATATAGGAAATCCCCCTTTAATTTCATAACTTATTTTCTCTATTTAAAAAAATTTAGTTGTAGTTTGACACAATGCCTTTATTTATTTATTTTTATGTGGTGTTGTGGATTGAACTTAGTGCCTCACACAGGMTAGGTGAGCACTTTACTGCTGAGCCACAGCCCCAGTTCCTTATTTTCTCTCTCTATTTTTTTACCTGTTTCAGTGCCATCAGTCTAAGGGCAGAGGTGAAAAGTAGTTCTGGGCCAGCTTGCTCTGGAATGGACACTATCAGAGGTATAGGGGGATAGGCCTGCCATAAATCCAAATCCAGCAATCACTTTTTCATAGAAAGGTGCACAGTAAACCATGACATGGACAAAGTACAGTTCACCTAACCAGTGACCTTTGAGATACACATAGTGTTCTCTGGTGTTTTATTTCTAGGAACAGTACCATAATGAAGATCCCCACAAGTGCTGCTTTGCACAAGTCAAATATAGAGGAAAAAAAAGGGTAAGGATTCACACAATCTCATTACCATATTAGCTTCCCACAGGCTAATTTATTTTCTCACCAACAAAATGAGCTGCCTGAGGGCTGGAGATGTGGCTCAAGGCAGAGTACTTGTCTGGCATGCTGAAGACCTAGATTCCATTCTTGGCACTGGGGGGAAAAAGCTGCCTATTCTATCCAGCCTCATCGGGCAATGTACTAAGAGATTTTATTTTGTGATTGAGGTTGAACATTTTATACAGTTGAATTTGCTTTCTCTACTGCTCATGTTGTTTGCCTGGGGGTTCAATTCCTAGACACTGCTAAAGCCCTTCTATACTGAGAAGACTGCTTCTTTGTTTCTCATGTTACAAATGCTTTATCCTATTGGGTTTTCTTGTTTGCTTTTTACCTTTTTTATGGTATTCTTCATGGAAATATAAATAATAATTTTACTGAGACATTTAATACTCATTATTTGTAACAAATTAGTAATTAAGCTGACATTTTTTATAAAACATTGTTTTAAGTTTAGTTGGGATACCTCTAGCCACAAATAATAGAAAATCCAACTCAACCTGGTTTAAAGGCAGGAAGGAGCTGTACAGGAGACTGGCTGTGAGAGGTGGATGGGCATCAGGCTTCTCATGGGGCTGCCTCCTCTGTGTTTGAGTGAAGAAGCAACACCACCCAAAACAGCCCATGCTGATCTCTCCTACAGCAGCAAGGAAGCACTTCCCCAGAAACTTCCAGCAAATGCTCCTGACTTTCAGTGGCCCACTCTGGGTCCCATATCCACTCCTAAACCAATCACCCACATGTGGGGACCATCTGAGCTGGGCTCACGTTGACACACTTGGCATTAAGGGCTGGGGATGGACTAAACAAAGTAGGGCTTGGTTGGAAAAGACTGTGGGACAGGCAACCCATGACACCAACATGACCTGCAGAGGACTCCTGGGCTCTGACCAGGGGTGTGATGGGGTAGGCATCATGTTTCAGCCCATTACCCCAAACTGTCAGGACCTGAACTCTATCACCCATTGTATCACTACCCTTCCAGTTGGCCACCCACAATTTGATATGCATGTGCCTATATCCTGACACCCTTTGGAGGGTGACATGTCACACAGCCCTTCTGCCTGCTCAATTTTTAAAATTTCCCATGCACTTTTTAAAATAAACATTTTTTAGTTGTAGTTAGATACAATATCTTTACTTTATTTATTTTTATGTGGTACTGAGGATTGAACCCAGGGCCTTGCACGAGCTAGGTGAGAGCTCTACCGCTGAGCCACAACCCCAGCCCCTCCCCCCCATGCACTTTTTTATTAGCTACAGAATGCTCAGCTCACTGTGAACCACAGCAATAAAAGAAGGGAAGATTCCAATATTTCCAGAGGTATTTAAAAAAAATATTGTGGAAATCTCGAATATACAGGAAAAATTATCATTGAGATTAGGTGGAAGGACTGGAGTGGACTGTGGTTAGCCCTATAAGGCAATGAGTTCAATCCCCATATCAAAAATGAAAAAAAGGGGGGTGAGCAAAATAAGTATAACTAACTCATTAATAAAAGGCTAAATAAACTTGTTTATACTGTTATGTTAGTAGACAATTCTCCAAAACTGATATAAAAAATGGCCAAATAACAGAAAGCACATAAAAGGATGGTCAACACCATTAGTTACCAAAGAAATGCAAATCAAAATCATGTGATACCATTTCCTGTTCACTAGGATACCTATAACCAGAAAGTCTGATAAAAATGTGTTGGTGAGGAATTAGAACCCTTCTACACTGCTGGTGGGTAAATAAAAGGTGTAGCTGCTCACAGTGTGGCAGTTACTCAAAAATGTGAAACAGAGTTATCACATGACCCAGCAACTGCACTCCTAGGTACATAGGTGGGAGAAATGAAAACACATATCTATTAAAAAAACCTGCATGCAAATGTTCATAGCAGCATTACTGGTAACAGTTCAGAAAGGGAAACAACCCAAATGTTTACCAACTGATGAGTGAGTAAAAGGTCAATCCCTTCAATGTAACCTTAATCAGCCATAAGGAGGAAGGAGATACTGAGCATGAATAACATGGATGAACCTTGAAAACATTAAGCTAAGAAGCCAGAACAAAAGGCCACAAAGTCAATAATTCCACCTCTATGATGTCCAGAATAGGCAAATTGATGGGGATAGAATGCAGATGAGTGTATGCCTAGGGCTGGGTGAACTGGGGGGGAAATGAGGAATAACTGCTAACTAGTGAAGAGAGGATTTCTTTTGGAGATGATGAAAATGTTCTGAAGTTGACTGTGGTGATAGCTGCACAACTCTGACATGTACTGAAAGCCCCTGAATTGTACTCTTTAAATGGGTGAGTTGCATAGTATGGAAATTACATCTCAATAAGGCTATTAAATAAAAAGGAATAGGTGTCAAACAGAAAAGGCTACTCTTTACCTTTCATGTTGTCACACATGATGGCCCACACAGCACCTATAACAACTGATAGCAGGACCGTGAGAACTCCAACAGCACAATCTAACTTCCCTTTGTGCATGACATATAAAATCAAAATGCCAATCCACCTGTCCAGAAACAGGGAGGGTCAGAAATGGAACCTAAGAAACTGCTCTGTAAAACATGATACCAAAAAATAAAGGGAGTTAATATTTTGCAAAACAAGGTAAGCATGATGTGAATAATAATTTTCATCAATATAAAGATACACCAATTCAACTAAAGAGTATGGCTTTCTTTTTTCACTTTTCATGCTAACTCACGTTATTGTTCTTATTCTATGTTTGCTATATTCCATTTAAATGCATCTCAAGACATAAGCAAACAAATAAAAGTCAGCTGCTAAAACACTGCTCACAATATGCTACTGGTAAACCAACAAACTACATGTTTGCTAAATTTCGAACAAGAGAATTTGTACATCTGTGAATTAACAAGATCAACACACAATGAAACTGAACCAAGAGGGAAAGAATTGAACAGAGATGCAAACATGTTCATGGTGAGCATTGATAAAACTCAAAAGGAGAAGTCCTGTGGCCTTGAAACTACCATTTTGTAATCACTGCAGAACAATGAAAGACAGCACCAAACAACACGAAGTCATAATGACCCTGACCCACCCCTACAGGTATTTTAGCAGAAGGCAGTGCACCACTTGGCAAAATTGCCCTATTAAAGATTCAAGCCCACAGCCTTTAAGAAGTGAAACTGGGGGGCTGGGAATTTAGCTCATTGGCTGAGTGCTTGTGTTTTTCATCAGTTTTGTGCTATCAGGTCGCCATGTCTACACAAAATAATAGGGAAATGATCTCTGAAAAACCTGGCCCTAAAAACTACAAAGTTCCTGGAAAGCAGATCACATTTCTTGTTCTGAAATCCCTTTCCCCTTCAGAATCTATTTTTTTAGAACCATGATATTATTCCTTGCCCACACCCTTTGCCAGCAGACTTCAGGCACCTGTGGCGCTCCCCACTGGTTCCACACTCCAGAACAACACACGTATGCGGAGCCTTTCTGCTTCTCGAGAAATTCTGCCACCCCCAGCTCAAGAAGGCAAGGAAGGGCATTATTTCCTACTTCCCTCTTGCAGAGCAGGAGCTCTGCTCTTCCGCGCAGAGTGGGAACCACGCAAGTGCACCTGGCTCCGCAAAGTTCGAGGCTGTGATTTTCGGTTGGCAACAACGGCCCCGCCCCACCAGTCCTCCACGCGGCAGCCAGTGCTCCTGCCCTGCAGCGCTGACCTCTGGGCCGCGGGTGTGACCCCGACGCGGCCTCCCCTCTCCCGGCCTCGGCCTGACATCTGTAAAACGGGGACAGCAACCGCACCTACCTGCTCCTCCACGGTGAGGACCAGGCAAAAGGCCATCGCCGTGACAGTACCCCGCAGGCTGGCGACTCTCGTCAGAGCCTCAGGTGACGGCTCGCCTCCCTGCTCCTCGTCGCCGCCCAGGACAGCAGTGACTCKCAGGAACAGATTGAAGAAYGCGGGGAAGAGCAAGTCATAGCGSGCAAGCGACGGCCAAAGAGCAGCAAGCCAGGAACCGCCTCAGACGACGCCACACCTCCTTCAACTCCTTTGGACTCCACAGTCATTTATGCCCAACTCCGCACCAGCGCCCAGGACAGGGCACTGCGCATGCTCGCTTAGGCCAGGCGCGCGCACGCGCACTGACCCATGTTGCCCGCCCCGCGCAACCCTCCCTGTTTCTGACCGGCTCCCTAACCCAGTCATTTGGTCACCGAGTTTACGTCTTTTTCATTGAGAAAGAAATTGAAATCTTTTATTTCCAAAATGAACCATCCAGATCATAGTATGGCTGTAAAGAAGGTAAAGCATCTCCATGCCTCTTTTTTTTTTCATGAGGAATATGTTTTGTACATACAGACATTGCCCAGCACTTAAGGACACACCAGACAGCTTTAAAAACAAACAACAACAACAAATAAAAAACCAACCTTAATTTTATTTATGTTTATGTGGTGCTGAAGATCGAATCCAGTGCCTYACAGTGCTCTACCACTGAGCCACAACCCCAGCCCAGGCATTATTTTTAAGTTTTAGGTGGACACAACATGTTGTTTTTATGTGATGCTGAGGATTGAACCCAGTGCCTCACGCTAAGCGAGTGCTCTATCACTGAGCCACAACCCCAGGCCTCCCCCCTTCCCCCGCATCTTTAACAAGGGATAACATCTTATGATATTTGTCTTGGCATGACTTTTGGCAAAATAGCTTTGATATCCTTCTTTGCTTGTTCTTTTAGGTTAGCTTCGCTATTTGCAAGTTACAGGAAGCAGTCTAAGAGACTTGGTATTTCATTATTCTTCATATTAGCCGCGAAAAACTTATCTTGAATCTTTGGTTTTTCCAAATTGATTCATACCTTCTTGTATTTCTCCATCTATGACTTGATTTTCTTTGTTTCAAGTAAAATGATTTATTTTATTCAGGTAAAATTAATATCTTTGCATTTGGTATTTGCCACTGTTGTCTACTGTTTTGATCAGGTGATTTTCCAGGAATTTGGAGAGTTGTTTTTCTGAGAATTCTTTAAAGTCCTGAGATCTTCAGGTCTTAGACCAAGGAGGAAATAAGTCACATTGTTAGTTTTAGGGCACATCAGTTTCCTTATGACAAACCCACATTGTCATAGAAACCTTATAGAGTGAGTAAATAGGTTTTATCTTTTCATTCTGTTTTGCAACAGAGTCAAGTGTAGTGTTGGGGCTGACTAAAAACTTGTATCCTTTAAGTGCTTGAGGTGAAATTAGAACAGAGACTTGGAGAGCCGTATTTTAATATTTGTTATAGGTTGAATATGAGGTGTCCCCCAAAGCTCATGAGATCAAGTAATAATGTTTACAGGTGAAATGATTGGACTGTGAGAACTGCAATCTAAGCAGTTCAGTGGATTAACTAACTTGATGGATTAATAATTTGAAAGGAATACTGTACTGTGTGTTAAGTGTAGGCAAATGAGGTGTGGCTAGAGAAAATAGGTCACTGGGGTCACTTGCCTTTGGGTTTGATATTTTTTCCCTGTCGCCTTAGCCCACTCTCCCTGCTTCCTGGTTGCCATGTACTGAGCACCAGGCCCTACTGCCATGGTGCCTCACTTGGGCCCAGAGTAATGGGCCTGGGAGATCAAGGGTTAAGACCTCTGAAATCAGGAACCTCAAATGAAGCTTCCACTTCTAAATTGTGCTTGTCAGGGATTTGGGTAACAGCAGTGAAAAGCTGACTAACAGTATTATATTTAAAAAATTAGGATTTTCCTAGTTATTTAAAAGGATTAGTGTTATGTTGCAACTTGCTCTTAAATTGTAAGTATAAAAGCAGGCATTATTTAAACCTGCAGGAAAAACATGTAAAGAACCTACAGCAAGATTAACTGGGCAAGGTAGTGCACACCTATAATACCAGTGACTAGGGAGGCTGAACCAGTAGGAGCTGAAGTTTGAGGCCAGCCTCAGCAACTCAGCAAGACCTGTCTCCAAAGTAAAACTTAAAAAAAAATCAAGGATTTTTTTTTACATCAGTGATAAAGCAGGGGTTCAATCCCCAATACTTGAAGAAGAAAAAATATAGACCATACTATAAAAGGGTTACCTCARACAGGTTGGGGAACCCATCCCAGGTAGAGTTCAGGTTCCCTGGAAAATTCTACCTCTGACTAGTAGTGGGAAAAATAACAGAAAAACTCTTCTTGAAGCCCCAATTCTATCACTATTGAACCTCAGTGGCCATTTGGGAAGGCACTTTCTCCTCATCTACTCTCTAACAAGGATTCTGAGCAGAACTGACCAATGTCATCAACTGGACAGGAAGGGTTCCTGCCAGGATCAGGTACTAACCAGCTTTCAGGGGTGCTGTCTTTAATGAGAATAGGGGCCTTGGAGGTGACTAATGTATGCCAAACTTGGTTTTGTGAGCTTCACCAACAAGGGCCCCTTTAAACCTTACAGAAATCCTAAGGCAGAATTTTTCCACGAATCAGGGGAACAAGGCTGATATTAGATTCCTTGTCCGGGGAGCAGCAAGTGCATTTACACAAGTATGACCCTAAAACTCATGCTTTTCTTATTTAGAGTTCCCATAAGGCACTGTGGTTTCTATCAAAAATATTTCTCTACCTGCTCTCTTGGCCAGAGTGTGAGGCAGTAGGAAACTTGATTCAAACTCTCTGAATGAACTGGACAGGAATAGATTGGTGCCTGTGAGTTTTTGTAGTCATCACTTCACACACACATGGACTGGGAGTGTAGATCAGTGGTAGAACACTTGCTTAGCATGGGACAAGGCCCTGTGTTCAATCCTCAACATTACAAAAAAAGAAAGAAACATACACACACCCCTCAATGAAAACCATTAATTAGGGGCTGGGGTTATGGCTCAGCGGTAGAGCATGCTCCTCTTACGTGTGAAACCCTGGGTTCGATCCTCAGCACCACATAAAATAAATAAACAAATTAAAGATATTGTGTCCATGTATAACTAAAAAATATTAAAAAAGAAAACCATTAATTACCTGATAATCTTTCTTCAAGAAGTGAAATTAACTATGAAACAGTGCTTCGTAAGGGGAGTCAGACAAGGCAAGGCCTTTGTTTCTAACACAGGAGGACTTGGCCGAGTCCTGCACTCCAGCTCAGGCACCCTTCTTTAATTAGATGTCATTCTGGCTCACCATGAAATGGTTTTGACTTCTTAGACAATTTTATTTTTACATGGGAATAATGACTACAGGTGGCTTGACATGCTGAGGTTCTTGTTCTGTGTATGGTGCTCTACTGAGAGTGACCCCAGCTTGTCTGTGCAAAGACAGGTATGAGCCCCACTCAGCCTACCCCCCTCCCGAGTCTGGGCAGCAGGGGGTCTGCTGGACCTGCATTAAGTGCTCTCCATAGAGCCCCTGCTTCCTGCTGATGGTACAGTATGTGATGGGGACCATCACCATTTTGCTGTAGAGGTTATGATAGTAATGATAGTAAAGGATGCAGTTATAGTGCTGGTGTGAGTTTTTGTGAATGGGACAGTTTGTTCAGAGGATGCACATTAAAAGTCAGTTTCCAGGTAAGCTCTGTATCCCTTGTCAGAAAGGTTTTTCTCCTCTCCCTTAGCCATGAATTTCCCTCTCCCCTATAAATTAACTGCCCTTTTACCCTTTCCTCTTCATTTGAGCCATTCTTCCCTAAGGATACCAAGTATGGAGATTTATTTATAACAATGTGAATGTGACACAATAGGATATTCCATGAAACTATTCACATATTCCACAATGAAAATAATTCTCATTAACTCTATTTTCGTCCCAGTTTGCTCTCAGTAAAATGGCTTATGGCCAGAACTCATTTCTGAATATTTGCTTCCCTCTAATTTACTACTTCTGGATGAAGCTCTCCTCTTATACAATCATATTTTTCCCTGTCAAGTTCATGGTCAAGCAAGTTTTTTAAAATCACAGGGGGTTAAGAATATACTAGCTTCAGGGCAGCTTCTTACACAGCATACAGTTGAGTTTGGACTTGGGCAGAGGATGAAGCAAAGGTTTTATTGCAAACAAGTGGAAGCAGCCAAGTTAGGAGCAGGCATTGTAGGGACAAACTAGGGGATAGGTCAGGGATCAGACACCTGGTCTCCTGGTTCCTGATGTTGATATGTTAGTGATGTTTGTTACACAGTTAGTACAGATGTGAAATAAGTGGCAAAGACCATGGTGTGAGTTAAGTTTAAGGCCCCATTCTCCAAGTGTGCTTTGCTCTAGCTGCATTATCAGCTCAAGYCCTTGTTTATACAGCAGACCTCTGGGCCTGACCCTGGGCATAGGAAATAATTTTTGAAGTCAGGGTTAGTAAAGTCTGGGGATCAAAACTGAAAATGATGATTCAGTACTGGTGTCAAAAATGATGGATCAGAAAAGGCTGGGTTTGTAGGTTGGTCTAAAGCCCTAGTTAGGACTGACTCAGGTTGTAACTCATCTTCACATCTATAGAACTGTGTCCATGAAGTACAACAACCTCTCTTCTTCCTTCCAGACCACTGGCAGAGACACATTTTGAGCAAGACATCTATGGAGACACAGGCAGGCATTAGGAGGGGAGAGAGGAGCCTCCCATACAGATAATCCAGAAGAACCTAGACTCTTCTAGGAGGATTTGCATAGTTACCATGTTGTACTCGTGGCATCTAGGGTTCTTTCTGTTCCATTTTTCCCCAATCACCCTCTAAATTTTAGAGTGTTGAATAAAAACTGTCTGTAAAGTAAATGATTTGTTCCCATATTTTAAATATTTAGTTGTCATAGTCTAGGATGTTTTGAATGGGCATGTAGGGACTCTGGGAGGGAATTATTTTTAAACATGAAATTGGAACCATAGGATTGTCATAGAGAGTTTGCCTACATATCATACATTTTGTTGGTTTATTTTGACCATGTTGGCCAAAGAATTATTACTGTATTTATTTGAAATAGTTTTGAGGTAGTATTTTGAAAACTTGCTATTTCTAATTAGTTATCTGTTAGGTCTTATAATTGATATATGTACATAAATATTTTCCATTTAAGAGAGGGTTTTTATATATTTTATT